GTCATAATGATACTTTGGACATGTTTCCAGCAGGGACCAGTCCCTGGAGAAGGACACCGTGCTCGGTAAAGTAGAAGAGCAGCAAAAAAACCAGAGGAAGGCCTTCGATACGATGGATGGACACAGTGGCCGCAACAATAGGCTCAAACATAAGAGCAATTGTGAGGGCGGCACAGGAGCAAACACTGTTCCCTTCGATTGTGCACAGGGTCACCATGAACCAGACGCAACTCAACAGTACCTAACAAGGACATGGTCATTATTCATAATAATCACGATTGCAGTTATATACGCACAAAAGCTGGACGCTGAAGAAAGAAGATCCAAGAAGAATTGATGCATTCGAATTATGGTATCAGTGATGACTACGGAACTACACTTGTATTATGGCATTGGCAAAGAATACCGGAAAACATGACCTATCAGAAGAACAAACGGAGCTGTCTGGGAAGAAGCCCAGCCAAATGCTCCTTAGAAGCAAAGATGGCGAGACGTTGGACACACCAGGAAGGGCTAGCCCCTGGAGAAGGACAGCATGCTTGGGAAAGTACAGGGTCATTGAAAAGAGAAAGGCCCTCGATGGGGTGGGCTGACCAGGGGCTGCAACAGTGAGCTCAAAGGCAGCCGTGGTGGTGAGGATGGCGCAGCAGTGGGGCACATTTCCTTCTGTTCTACGTCGGGCCAGGAGGAGTTGGAACCAAGCAGACAGCACCTCACACCAACACGGTTATCAGGGCCACCCTCTCTCGAGTCTAGATCTAGAGCCTATCGTTCTTCTTCACTTCCCCACAGGCTGCACCTTTAAGCTATGGTGTCACGCCAACACAGCGTGAGCCTTCAGAACGAGGTTATCCAATCAGAAGGGTCTGAGTCAAATTCTGTTTGGACCATGTGTTAGTGAGGGACCCTTCTGCGGGGCATGGGAACCCCGCTCCCCCTCCACTGTGACACGACAAGCATTTAGAGCCTCCAGGAAGCCAACATAATCAACGATTCCCGTCCATAAGGCATCTTCTGAATCGCTGACAATGAAATGCAGTGCTGCGGGCATGTGATGGATCGCCCGGCTGACAACGTCCCAGGAGGAGACGGTGCAGGCTGGGTCTTACCTGTCGCATTTCCTTATAGCTGTGATGCTTAAAATCCAGGTCATCAGTGGTGGTCATTTCATTCCGCCTGTGGTAATAGTTATTAGGATCTAGAGACAGAAATACACGCTTTAATTCTGCCATATCCCCCCTAGAACTTGAGGTCTCTCAAGAAGGGTCTCATTCATGCAGCAAGTGGATGGTGAAACAACCCTACACAGCCCCGGGTTCAATGTCTAACCTTCACACAGGGGGGAGACAGAACCTGTGGGAAGCCACGGAGGATGTAGAATGAGATCCCAGGCCAGGCTCCCTGGGTTCAAATAGCGACCTTCTCTTTGTGTGACCTGGGGCAAGCCACTTCAGCCATCTTTGCCTGAGTTTCTTCAGCCACCCACAGGGTGGCTATTTTTGGGTGTCAGAATGCCAGCAATCAGCAGAGAAATGAACAGACAAGTGACACAGCTACACGCATGTGCGTGGGAATTTTCGGAAGTATGCTGGACACCACTCCTTGCTTACCTAGCAGTCACTCCCTCTTCCCCCTCCCTGCAGAAACCCTGCAGTGTTATGGGATCTTCTTGCTCCTGCCTCTAGGAAGCAAGACTTCGTATCTTAATTCCAGAGGCTCGTTGTGACTGGCCAGAGACAACCAGAGCACAGCACCCACCACCCAACACACACTATTGATTCAAGTGGCAGGAAGGGTCTTGTTGGTTGGTTGAGAGTCTCTGTGGAAGTGCCCAGGGACCAGCCATCACCCAACTACAGAGGGACCAGCCTAAGGATGCAGATAGCATGGAGGTCTCAAAGGAGAGACTGAACCCCCATAGGGAGGCTGAGACTGCAGTCCAGACAAAAGCCGGCTGCCACATCTGTTGTTGTTTTTTAATTATTTTATCAGAAACTCTTACAATTCTTATCACAATCCATCCATCATCCATTGTGTCAAACACTTTTGTACATAAGTTGCCATCATCATTTTCAAAATATTTTCTTTCCATTTGAACCCTTGATATCAGCTCCTCATGTTTTATAGGCACTTCATCCACATACCATACAATTCAATCTCTCAATCATATCAAGAAAAGTTGTCCCATCATTAACCACAATCAATTTTAGAACATTGTTTTCTTCCTTGCACTCGTCACTCGTGTCATTGCTTTTTCCGAGTGCGGCTACCACATCTTCATCCTACTTAGCGGCTGCTGGCTTTGAACCGGCAACCATTCATTTATCAGCTGAGCACTGAGCCATCACGACACTAGGCCTCCTTGGAGAGACCAGAGAGAGCCCCATCAGTAGATGCTGGGTCAGCCAACCCTGGAGCCGGACCTATCCTGGGACTCCCGGTGCCACTGTGATAAAGCTTCCCTTTATAGTTAAGCCCTTTGGAGCTGGGGTTCCATTGTGTGCAGCGGACTGTCTGGAGTGCAAAGAGGGGCGCCACGCAGGCTGGAGGATGAGCGAGTGGGGGAAGGAGTCACTTCAGGATCCCCGATCCCCCTTCACACCCACCGGCTAACATGACAGTCCCTCCTGGCCAGGACCGAAACCCAGAGAATGCATCAGAGACCAGAGAAGAAGGAGGAAGATGAGGGCGAGTGGCGGGACCTGCCAGCACAGCCCTGAGACCCTTCCCTGCAGCTGGAGAGGTGGGTGGCCTCCAGGACCCCGGGCTCCTCTGGAGTGTACTGGACACACTGGGCAGCTCAGCTCTTCTTCCAACAGAGAGCAATTGGTCAGCAGGGTTGGGACCAGAGAGCTCAAAGGGCAATTTTGGAGGCAGGGGTGGGGCTGAGCGGGCGGGCAGGCAGGCAGCATGGGCAGGGCTGTCACGCCCCTCAGTGGGTGTCCCATTCCTCAGGACCTGGGGTCCCGTGTTACAGGGTCTCTGGTGATGCAGATGGTGCTCCCTGAAGGGATGCGGGTTAGTCCTTCAGCAGCTCCTTGGAAGAAAACCCCGGAGATCTACTTCTGAGACCCAGCCCCTGAAAGCCCCAAGGAGCTCAGTGCTACTGCCACACGCACGCGTCGCCGTGGCCCCTGGATTTGGGTTTCCGTGTTCAACAGGGCCCTTTGTCCACCGGGCTTTGATCTTTCATTGCTCTGTCCTCCTCTAGGGGGGGCGGGGCGGCGGATGTTAGTGCGGGGCCGCTACCGTACAAAGCGGTCCAGGGTCAGCATCAGTGGCCGCTTGCCGTCAGGTGCCCTCAGTGGATGGCAGCTCAGAATGCCCCTGCAGGACAGAGCCGAGCTGCCCCTGGGGTGTCCAGGGCGGTGATCTTTGCAGGAGCAGGTGGTCAGGGCTTCTCTCCGACAGAACCGCTGGGTGGGGGTGTTCAAACGGACAACCTTGCAGTTAGCAGCCTAGCACTGACCATCGGTGCCGCCAGAGGTCATTTGGGTTTCTTGTTAGGAGTTTCGAAACCCAGGCCCCAGAGCAGATCGAATGGATCAGATCCTCTTTGTCACGGGTCCTGGCGGGTCTGCAGGCAGGAACATGGAGAAGCCCCGCAGGGGCCAGCCTCCCAGTCCACATGAGACACAGCTTATGGAAGGTGGTGCCCCACGGCCAGAGGTCTCCACCAAGAGCTTTCTCAGAAGGCACCGAGGCCAGGCCACGGGTTAAACATCACCTACAGAGCCCAGCGCAGAAAACACACCACTCAACATTCGCTACAGCATTGCCAGCAGTACTGCTGGAAGCACAAAACGGTGGCAGAGAGAGAGACCATGGGGCAGGGCACCCTGGCACCTTGTCTAGGAAAGAAAGCACAAGTAACTCAGGTCGAGCCAAACACCCTCTGATTATTTTTCCAGCTCTTTCCCTGCTAGAGCGAGGACAGGCCCTGCTCCGGTGGCAGCCACTGCCTTCCTGGGGATTGCCACGCCCATGCGGGTCAGAGCGGAGGCCCCGCGGTTGCTTCTCTTTACCCTTAACTTGGCTACTCGGGGGCTTCTAAGTTTCATCAAGTCCCCCAGGCTGCGTCTTCCCTTGTCCGTTTGTTCTGAGTGGGCCAAGGCGGATGGAGAACCTACGATGAGCCCAAAACGATGATCTAAAGAGATGTTGTTAGAGGGAGGGCAGAGTGGAGACCCAAAGCCCATCCGCAGACAACTGGACATCCCCTTGTCCTCTTACAGAAGGGTCACAAGGAAGAGATGAGCCAGCCAGGGTGCAGGATAGCACCGATGAAACATACAACTTTCCTCTAGTTCTTTAATGCTTCCTCCCCCCACCATCATGACCCCAATTCTACCTCACAAATCCGGCTAGACCAGAGCATGTACACAGGTACAGAGCAGAGTTGGAAACACAGGGAATCCAGGACAGATAAACCCCTCAGGACCAATAATGAGAGTAGCGATACCAGGAAGGGAAGGGGAAGGTGGGGGAGAAAAGGGGAACTGATCACAATGCTCTACATATAACCTCCTCCCAGATGGCCAATAGAAAAGTGGGTGAAGGAAGACATTGGTCAGTGTGAGACATGAAAAAATAATGATTTATAAATTATTAGGGGTGGGGGGGGGTGGTGAGGAGGAAAAATGAGGAGCTGATACCAAGGGTTCAAGTAGAAAGAAAATGTTTTGAGAATGATGATGGCAACGAATGTACAAATGTGCTTGATACAATGGATGCATGGAAGTATTGTGGTAAGAGCTGTATGAGCCCCCAATAAAATAATTTTAAAAATAAGTAAAAATAAAGAGATGTCACTGCTGCTGCTGCTGCTGCTGTTATTAAGTGCCACTGAGCGACTATGGTCCATTAGGACCCTGCATACAGCAGAAGAAAGCACTGCCCGGCCCTGCCCAAATCTCATCATTGATCCCCTAGTTGTCGCCTCAGTGTCCATCCATCGCCTTGAGGGCCCTCCTCCTTTTCATTGCCCCTCTCCTTGACCAAGCAGGACGTCTTTCTCCAGGGACTGGTCCCTCCTGATGACACCTTTAAAGAGACGAATGAGTTTTCAGCCCACAGTCCATCAGAACCAGCTGACTACAGCGGTTGGGACTTTGTGTTGCCCGAGCAGAGCTGTGTGCTCCATAGGGCTCCTAATAGCTGATTTTTTTGGGGGAAAGAGATCTCCAGGCCTTTCTTCCAATGTCTCTCTGGGTGGAATCCAACCTCCCAGCTAGCACCACCCAAGGACACCCCGCAGCCTAACACACCCACTGACTCAGCAGCCCTGTGAGATCTTTGGAACCCGCTGACGTCACATGGCTCACCAGAGAAGCAGTTCCAGCCGTCACATTAAGAGTGGGATCATTCCAGATTTGACCAATATGGCCTTGAAATGATGTTATGAATATCCAAATGGCCTTTGGGAGATAAAAAGGGTCTCCATTCCTGTGCCAGGGGGGAATTGTGTGAAAAGATGCTGGGTTCTCATGGGACTGGCTATGTTACCCTGCAGAATGCACTGGAAAGTGGATTGCTGAAGATGCAGTTATGGTAAAATTTAGCAGCCTATCATTTGATCACTCTTAAGGGCCATTTAAATTGGTTCTAGTTTTTACTATTTTCTTCTTTCTCTTCAATTGAAGTCTTTGTCCATTCTGCTTTGTTATTGTTGTCAGTGTTAGTGGTTTTTAAACAGTACTTTTCCTCTATATTAAATCCAGGATAGGTCAATCTATAGAGACAGTAGTTTTAAATATTTTCTTTTTTTTCTTATTTGAGGTTTTTATCTGCTCTACTGTGTTGTTAGTGTTTTTTGTTCGTTTTTAATGTCTTTCTGTATGTGAAATCCAGGAGAGGTAAATCTATAGACGGTAACTGGGAGGGTGGCAGGAGAGGTTGGGGGTGGGAGTGGGGGTGGACTGGGGAGCTAATAAACGCAAGGACAAGAAGGAAGAAAATGCTCTGAGTGTAGTGAGGATTGTACAACTCTTCTTGAGGTGACTGAGCGACTGAATTGTATGATATATGAATCGCACGCCAATAAAACTGCAGGGGAAAAATGTTTTTTTTTCTGGAGCTGCGATTTCATCAGCCATAACAAAACACCCGAGGACCTCCAACCGTGAGATGGTGGAGCAGGTGAGGTGGTGGAGCGGGTCTTAGTCTGAATCCCTCCTTATCGGGAATCCATCTCAAGATGCTCCCTCTGGGCTCTAGCAAGCTTGGCTCTCCCGTCCAGAACTGTCACCACAACTCGTCTCTGGCGATGAGCACTTTCTTTCTCTCCTGAACTTCAGAAATCCTATTAACAGTGGCCACAGTCATCCATTTTCCAGTTCAGAAACTTCCGGGAGCGTCTCTGTGAGAGCCCCCACCAGAGTCCGTCTGAAGACAGCTGGGGTGAAGAGGGCAGAAGGCAGCGAAGGGAAGTGTGTTTTTCATAAACTGGAGTCTCAGGAGGCAAGCTCAGACCACAAGGTCACCTTGGGCTTGAGAGGCGATGCCAGCTGAGACAGTGCTGGCTTGGCCTCATTCACGATCACAGAGGAAGCGCTCTAGTTCCACAGCAGCGGCGTGGACTGGAAGCCCTCACCCCCACCCCCAGGCCCCAGACACAACGACCACTTACAGGCACGCATGAACAGCCAGTGCCCCTGGGCGGACGGGCTACATCACTTCTAGAAGCAAAAGGGCCCTACACGCGTGTGCGGTGGCAAAGAGAACCGTGCGGAGGCCACGCTCCTTGAAACCCACTTGAAACTGACTTCGTACTGTAACGTCTGCCGTTGTGAGCCTCTACATAGCCCCAGGACTTCTCTTCAAACCCACACACGAAGATTAACTGCAGAGGGAAATATTTAGTTCACAAGGCTCTCACGGGCTGCCCTTCGACCTTTACCAACAACAGATGAATTCCTGCTGCAGGGAGAAGCGGGGGCCCTGCCTTTGAAAGGAAGCAGACCTCAAAGTTGGTGGGTGGGGCAAGAGCAAGGCCCTGACCTGATCCCGAGGGGCTGGGGCCCGGCAGCACTGGGGAGAGCCCCGACTGCAATCCTAGGGGTAGCCAGTCCAAACGGAGGCCCAAGTCCCAACCCCGGCAGGGCTCCCGCTCCTGCCCATAGCACCTTCAGAGCTGAGGGGACCCTGTGCTGGACCCACTTTACATCTCAGAATTCACGGGAAGGGAAGGGTCCTGGGCAGGTACGGTGACACAGAGGCAAGGCAATAGAACAACAGCAAACCCCGGGTGGCATCGGACAGCCTATGGATTCACATTCTGAATCACAGTCAATGGAAGAGTCCTGATCCTGTAGTGGTTACAGGCAGGGCTGATTACCACTAGGTCAGCAGTTCAAAACCACCACCCGATCCTCAGTGCAGTCCTTGATCTTCGTCAGCAAGGGCTTCAAGTCCTCCTCACTTTCACCAAGCAAGGTTATGCCATGGGCATCCCACAGGCTGCTTGATAAACCTTCCTCCCATCCTAATGCTACCTCCCGCTTCTTGGATGATTTGCTCGGCATACAGACTGAATGGGCAGTGAGAGGACGCAGCCCTGAGGGTAAACCACGTGGTATTCCGCGACTCCCTTTTCACCACTGCCTCTGGATCCCTGTGCAGGTCCCGCATGAGCGTAAGGACGTGCTTTAGAATTCCCTTTCTTCTCAAGGCCATCCATAGCTTGTCATGACCCCGCAGGATCATGCCTTTACACACGCAGTGAAACGCAAGCAAACATCTCTCTGGTGGTGTGCTCTGCTTTCAGTAAAGATCTTTCATGACAGCTTCATCCTTTGTCCTGAAGAGAGGCTGGTGGATTTGAACCGGCCACCATGAGGTGGGCCGTCCAAGACTGTCAAGTTTCAAATGAGCTTCCACCACCTCCTGCCCTACCCCTACCCCACAGTGTAGTCGGGACCCTCAAGCACAATGAAATGTGTTGTCAAACATCCCCCAAAAAAAGTTGTCCTTTTTGGGGGGGCCTTTTCTTTCATTCCTTTTTTTTGTTTGTGGGGTGGAGGTGGGGTGGGGGCTCATCTGAGTGTTAACCTTGCAGGAATTCCCAGCCTTGAAACATGCATCGCCTCACGTGTGTCATGGGTGAAGCCAGGGGGGTGGGGAGGGGGGTAATAAGTGATTCCTCTCCCCGCGTGTGCATGGCCTCTTTGCTGGTTTTTATTGTCCTTGTCTGTGCTTTCTAAAAGGTTTTACAACGGACGCACACTGGTTTTTTGTGACCTGAGAAGAGAGTTCTGGCTTTATTGACTTATTTTAATTTGGGGTGAAATATGCGCAATGAAGTGCACACTCGTCCTGCGGTCTGTGCCTGCGCGGTCCTATGACAAAGGAAATATACGCCCCGTCGTGTCTTCCTGCTCACGAGTTTGCTCCCTGCACTTCACCAACAGCAACCCAGATTCTCTGTCCCTGGTGCTCCCCCCTGTGCAGCAGGGTGACTTGGATCGGCCTTGGCCGGGCGCCTGTCCTCGCTGCTAGGCACAAAGAAGAGGGACTCACCAGGGAGCGGGCAGCCCAGGATTTCCATGCGCAGACAGATGTCCCCGTTGTCCAGCCAGGTCTGTGGGTTGATTCGGATGCAGCGAGCCACGATGGGGACGGGCAGCTCATTGAGGACCGGGATCTCCTTCTCGCTGTTTCCTTCAAATATCTGTTCATGCAAAGGGAGGAATGAGGGGGCATGTTGACAGGTACCAGAGTATCTAAGAGGAGGCGGGAACTAAGTCACTCCACAAGACACATCTGGGGAGCAGCCCATGGGTGCTGGGTATTGAGGGGCAAAGGAAAAAGGCAGCAGGGCTGGACCCTGCCCTCAGGAATGCCCTAGACCTAACGGAGGTTGTGGGGGCAGCTCCTTAAGCACAACAGAAGTCAATGGGTGTCTTGGGAAGTGTGATACGTGCTGGCCTTGAAGAGAGATGATTAGACACCTAAGGGGGCTGGACAGTGAGTGGGTGAGGCAGGATTCTAGGGAAGAGGGGCAGCATCTCGGGAGAAGAGCCACCGGCACGTTTTCTCCTGGCATGCAGGAATAGGCGTAGAGGGTGAGGATGAGGGAATGGTAACCAGGATGAGGCTGTGGGGGGACCAGAGGCAACCCTGGACCCGCACTAGGAATCTGAGTAAGACAGTGACCTGGCCAGAGCTGGCTGAGCTGGAGCGGCTCTCAGAGCTCAAAGATGAGGCTCTCTGAAGAAAGTTCGAGACTATTGTAATGGAACAAGTGCTAGGGGCTCCAGCCTACCCTCTGCCCTATTTATCCGCGAGGGCATATCCGTGGCCCGGTAGGCTGCCTCTCGGCAAATGAAGGGTATATGGCGCAGCCTTGGTGCTGAGCTGCAGGACATGGAGGGGAACGAGTCCTTGGTCTTCAGACCCTGACACAGAATGGGGGGCCCTCCAGAAGGATGTGGTATAATTCTCTCTGTACAGAGCCTCCCTCACATGGCCAGGCGCTGAGAACGAGGTCAGTAGGAAGCACCGACTCACCATGTCTCCGGACCCATTCTTGACCGTGACCCACGTGTGGCTGTCATTGCTCACCATGACCTTGTAGGATGTTACCCAGTCACTCCTGCGAGAGAACAATGCATGAGAACCCAA